GATTGGATTTCACCTCTACCCTAACTTTCTTACACAGACAGAATTGAGATGGTAGAGCAGCGAATGTCCGGCTCACACGCATTCAAGTTGTTTGTGTTATGGCATGTGGACACTTTCAGACTCAGGAACCCATAACACTCCCGGGTCCCTGAGTGGTGCATTTGTTCACGGTGGAACATTGGGGAATACCGGGAATATTGTCTGATCCAAGCTCTCTTTCTTCCAGCGTTCGGGTTTATTTGTCATGCTAAGCTGGGGTCTCCTTCTTCAGCAGAATGCCTTCAGAAAACATTTCAAACACTGCCCTTCTCTTAATATCAATGCATTTACCATACAATAACTGACATATTAGCCTTACAGTAACCAGTGTAATTATAACGCAAACAAAACGGAAATATAGTGAGAAAAATAATGAAGTAAAGAGCTGTGACTAGTTCTGGTATCGCCTTTTATTAATGGTGACCATCTTTCAGCAAATGTCTGTTTTTAATTCTAATCTGACTGTGATTTTTTTCCATCATATATATATATATTCTCTTAACCCGTCTTTCCACTGCATTACATATTATTGCTTAGTATCTCAGCAGAATATTTAAACATCACATTTCAGACCTTTTAGTTGATGTTTTTTCTCAGAGTAACATGCACTGAGTGGCCCCAGTATACTGTTTGAGGAATGAAATGTAAACTTGAGGCCATGGCATTATTTAAACAACATGGTTCATCACCCTGTGAGAAGTTTCCACTTGGCTTGACATGTATGTACACTATATACTGTATGTGTGTGTATATCCTCCTCTTGACAAACAGGCCTACCACATGCGGTGGCGTGTTTTCACCGCTTGAGCAAACAAGTGTACAGCAGAGCTCCATGCCCGTGTCAAAGAGTGGCTCTCGCCCACCCACTTGGACAAACTCGCTGTAGTTTTTACCTCCTTGTTTTCACCCTCTAGTCATACATTTTTTTCTTCTCTCTAAACCTCTCTAAATCTATTTGCAATTCCACCTCCAGTAGCCTCTCTTATCCCCACTTGTCTTAAATACTCTCTGTCATTCCATCTCTGTCTCCCTTCCTCTGTCTCTCTAGGTGTGGACTGCACTGAAGAATGCAGTTAAATCAGTGTTTCTCCTCTCCTGCATGCCAGATGCATCTCACCCTCCCAGCCATGCCAAGCTTCTGAGGCACAATTGACCTTAAAAGGAAACAATAGCGGCCTATCAATTCTGCTCTGCCAGTCAAGGAATGGCGCACTCCTCATGGGCCGGGTTACGCACACACACACACACACAAGGAAGTGTTTGGAAACTGAACTCTGAAACTGCTTGGGAAATGAGAGTGAGCCAGTTTTGTGTTTCTTGTTATTTTTAAAGGTGTATACTGTCTGTACAGGGCAGTAGCCAAGATTTTATAAATGCTAGGATCATGAGTCTATTAAGTTTTATTATAGGCGTGAATGCGGCTTCAAAATCCACACTCTACCAATCTTTATTTGTTAATGTGTTAGCCTCAAGGTAAGTGTACATATTTTAATTCAAAAGATACATGACCTTAGTGTCCTTGATGTGTGTTTTTTAACAAGTCTGATCGAATAGATTTTGCCCATTAGTTAGTGACAATGTTGCTTTAAGGAAGTTACATTTGTCTGACCTTTATCCATCCATGTCATGGTGTCTGTGTATTTCTTTTTTTACAAATGCCTGAGAATTACTGTGTGTGTGTGTGTGTGTGTGAAGTTCTTAATAAATAATTCAGATAAATTACTAAGGATTTAGAACGTCTTTATAGCCAGAAAGGATTTAGTTGGCATCCTCAGATAAAAACCCTCTTGCCAAGGAATGCTGAGTACTTTGGTGTCCTTAAGCTTAGAAGACGAAGACTAAATGAATCTTTTAAAAATGCTTTGAATTCCCGTTTGTTAGATTGATGAGACAGGCTGTCCTTTCTTATTTATTTAAAATAATGGATTTGACCTGGCTTTTTACCTTGTTTGTGTGAGAGGTGGTTCATTGCTTGTTGTCGTATGAATGAAAGATAGTCGGTTATCTGTCTGTGATGTCGGCACTAGTGTGCGAGAGCCTCTGCACTTATTTGTTGAACGGGCAGGGCTGAAAGTCATTAGATATTAGGACTGGTTCTGCCGGTTTACAGTGAAGTTAAAGAGGTGGATGCTTTTCCATTTGACAGCTCATCAGCTTCTAGACATATTCTCACTCCACCTTGCCACTCAGCTGGAATGCAAATAGCAGCAGCAGGAATGCTGCGCGCAGTCTTCACTGGCAGCGAATGAAGAATCAATCCCCAGCTGTATTCTTCTCTGGTGTTCCTTCCTCCTTTCTTTATTTTGCTCCTGTCTGCTACTTTCTGGATGTCCGCTTCCTGTCTCTCCCCATCTTTCCCCTCACTGTGTGTCTTCTCGCTCTTCATGCCTCTGTGTCTTTCTCCCCTTGTCCCTCTCTCGTTCCTTTTCTCTCTCTAGGCATCCTGTTCACTGTGTTTGATTTGGGCATTCCTTTCCTCCCTGAGCAGACAAAACAACCCCAGACCTCTCTGAACTGCAACCCCCAGTGCACGCACACACTCACACACAGACACACATACACACACCACATATACACACTCTCCCTTCTGCTAATCACACACAGGAAATGGGCTCACATGCAAACGAGGCCCGCCTGGCCAGTGGAACCCAGGATGGAGTTTCAGGCCATGAAATGTTCTCCAGTGGAGGAAATTGAACATGATCTCTCTCTTCCCCATACTTTCATTCTTCTTCACTCCCCCTCTTGTCTTACTCTTTAAATGGAGCCATGTTGCCGTGAAACATCTATAGCCATTGAAACAAACTGATGGACGCATATTGGTGAATGTACCAAGTTCTGTAGGACTTATATTATATGACTGACGCAATATGTTGGAAGTTGACTTGTCAAAAAGAGTACCTTCAATGGACAAATATTTTAGGGCACAGATCAGTAAGGTTGAAGCACTTCTTCTTATTTGGAAAGTGTAAGCCTTAGTGCTTGAAAACCATAAACTGATAGCTTATCAACTGCCTTACATTATATGTGGGATAAAGCCGTACTCAAAGATAACACGATTCAATGTTTATGTAGAATGAAAAGGAAGAGAAGGTCATTTCTGCTCCATTTTGCATCAAAGTTTGCCGTTTCAGGTGAGAAAGATTGACTCTCACTGGACAATTCTGGGCCAGGACTAGTCGTGTGCCGTGTTGTTTTAAAGTGGTTTCTTCTATGAGACAACTGTATAAATACCAGAAATACAGCCTTCTCCAACAACGCAACTTATAATATACTAGCATAAAACGCTTTAATCAACTCTGAGATTTCTATGAGACCAATACAGACCCTGGAGGAAGTGCCCCCTCACACAGCTTCAGTTTATTCTGCTGAGTAACATAATGAACCATCCCAACCTGACGTGTGCGGGGGGGACGGACGAGTGGAAGCAAAGGATGAGAAGGAGACAGCTGTTTTCAGTTTTGCTTGGTTACATGTTGGCTAAATGTCTGAATGAATCGCCCAGACCCCCCCTGCACACACAGACACGCACACACACAACCCAACAACACAGACAAACATGTGGTCTCTGGTCACCAGGGTATTTGGTGTCATCTGGATTGCTAAGAATGCGTCAAATCTCATTTGTAAAATCCTATTTTCATTAACAACATGGTTATTAATCACACAGTACACAAAAAAGCTGGCTCTGCCCTCAGCAGAATTATACGCTTGGTTAAGTCCAGCGAAGAAGGGTTGTTTTGTAGCATGAGAACGTCAAATGATTCAGCAAAACCTGTGTGTCCGTGTGAGGCTCTGCCCTCATGAATATAACATGACTGCAGCAGGACTGCCTCCTCCCTGAGTAGAGAGGATGTGTGGGAACAAACAGAAAGGGTGACAGAGAGGACATGAGAGTGGCGGGAGCTCCTACAGACCCGTGGTTTCTGTCCATCAGAAGCTACTTACTGCACATGATGGGGTGTCTTTGAGCACATCACTTGTCTCTGCTTACTCAGTTTAACTAAAGTCAAGACGGAACCCTCTTTCTGGACATTTTCATTATTTTAGAGCAAAAACAACTAGGTAATAAACAGAAAATTAAACGGCAACTATATTTGATAGGCTATTCATCTTAAAAGTCATGTTCCAGCTGCACAAATGTGAGTGTCTGTTCTTAGTCTGTTGTGGTATTTTGAATATAATTGGGTTTTGTTAATTGGAAACAATCAATTTCAAGTCAACCTATTGGGAGGCCAAAAACATGTGAAACTGATCAAAATGAATGTAGAAAACATGTGGAAACTACATTTTCCACTTTTCCCTGACAGTTTATAGACTAAACGGTTCGTGTTTTAAGTGCATAAATAATTGAGCACGCAAGTATTGTAAGCTGCAGCCCTGCATGCTTTAATGCCACTTTTTTCTTTTCCTCCTTTCATTAGTTAGTGCAAATGTCAAGGTATCAAAGCTATTTCAACACTAGAATCACTTACTTGCTTTTTCTGGAGCTTTTCAACGTCTCACACCGACTTCTTTAGCAGATTGAGCCTGCTTGGATGCGATGAAACTGTACATGTTCCCATTTGATATCATATTGAGCACTTGGTGGACTTGATAGGTTGTTCTTTAGTGTATGTAATGTTTCTCTACCAGTGTCTCCTGTTGCTGCTTACAGTTCACAGGAATGTTCCCTTTCTCCTTCGGCCTCCCCCCTCCGCTCCCTCATTTCTTCCCCTCCCTCCTCTTTCCTCTCTCATCCTTTAAATTCAGTCCAGACTTCAGCCTTAAATCTGGATTCTCTGCGCTTAACCAAACATATGGAATGCTACTGTAGTGGAATGCTCCAAGTCTGGGCTGTGTTCTCGGAGTGTGTGTGTGTGTGTGTGACTGTGTTTAACCATACTCATGTTTTGAAGCAGATGAGGGCTTCTAGGATGATTATGATAATGGTGCGTGTGTGTTTGTGTGCCTCCCCACAGAACTGAATAGGGCCTTCTGTTGTCGTGGCCAAACACTGCCTGTCTGCTCATGCATGAGTCTATTGCAAAGCCTTCCGAATGCGTCCCATATCTGAGCAGTGGGCTCATTCTTTTACGCCCGATAGCTTGACTGTGGACCATCTCCCCCACAGTGGCTGCATTGTCAGCCCGGCGCAGGCTCGGGGTCGCTTGCCAACTATAACAATGGTGAAAGATGGCATGAGTGTGTGTCTTGATATTATGATGACCAATGATGTTTTCTAACCTTATGCCCTGCTTTTGTGTTTTTGACCACAGGATGGAGACTTTGCAAAGAGGCGCTTAACGTGTGACAGACAAAAGGATGCACTTATATGTAAGTTATGCCTTTCACGCCTGACAATGCTGCGCTTTAATGTTGTTTTGTTTGGGCCTTTTTCCCCCGACAATGTAGAAATGGGGAAGAGAACACGGGGTATGCAATGCTCCCAATGCTGGTATATGTCGGTTTTATGTAGCATTATGCCAAGACGCTCAATTTAGTAAAGTAAAAGTAACACACCCTATAAGACCTTGAAAATAATCAGAGATCTCTATAAAAATGTATTAAACATTTATGGAAATGTTTTTTGTTATGAACTTCTCTCCATCTTGAGATAACTTCACAAGAATGTTACCGCACTTATCTGTGTTTAAGGCCCAGGATTGAGAGGGAGCCAGCAGGTGATTAGCTTAGCTTAACATAAAGACCTTGAAACGGCACTATTTAAACAAATACCACTACCAGAACTTTGAAAGCTCACATGTCATTTATTGTTAATGTATAGAAAAAGTGGATATGAAAACATCGGTTTGCAGTTTATTTATCTCCCAGAGCATTTCCAGTCATAGCGCTGCTTGTCTGGAAACACTGATATGAGGACAAGACTCCGGGAAGTATTTGGGTTATTCACCAATGAATAGTTACAGCATGTTACTCCCCCAACCTCAAACTGTTGTTTTACTTTTAAAGATAGCCAGGCCAGCTGTTTCCCATTCTTCCAGCAGCAATTCAATGAAACGGTAGCATAATGCTAAGCTACGATAACTTGCTCCTTGCTCTACAAACACAGATATTGGAGTAGGCGAGTAGAAAGAAAGGAAGGATAACTAAAACTCTAAGCAGGGTTTTAAAACCTAGTTACCGTACTATATTGTGTGTTTAGCAATCAGACAAATTCAATTATTCAATATCCTGAATTTCAACTGTCTCCAATGGCCCACCCTTCTTCTCGTCCTTCACCTCTCCTTGTTCCTCTCCTCCTCATCCTCTTGCTTTACTCACCTTTTCCTCCTTTCCTCTCCTCCCCCTCCTCCTTCTCACCTCTTCCGCCCTTCCACTGCTCTTTGTGATTCCGTTTCCTGTTGGGCACAAACGCCGGCGCCACATTTCCTTCCATGTTGCACAGGAGTGGCAAACATACCAAACTGTATATATTCTGTACATATGGGTCACTGTGCTTATGCATACACATTCACACAGGTGTGTGTGTGTGTGTGTGTGTGTGTGTGTGGGTGTGGTGTGGTGTGTGTGTGTGTGTGTGTGTGTTGTGTGTGTGTGTGTGTGTGTGTGTGTGTGTGTGGTGTGTGTGTGTGTGTGTGTGTGTGTGTGTGTGTGTGTGTGTGTGTGTGTGTGTGTGTGTGTGTGTGTGTGTGTGTGTGTGTGTGTGTGTGTGTGTGTGTGTGTGTGTGTGTGTGTGTGTGTGTGTGTGTGTGTGTGTGTGTGTGTGTGTGTGTGTGTGTGTGTGTGTGTGTGATGTGTGGTGTGTGTGTGTGTGTGTGTGTGTGTGTGTGTGTGTGTGTGTGTGTGTGTGTGTGTGTGTGTGTGTGTGTGTGTGTGTGTGTGTGTGTGTGTGTGTGTGTGTCGTCTTCACTGAGCTGCGTTTATTATTCCGGATTCTAGTTCACATCCTGCTTCAGCTGAATTCATCCTAAATAGTCTGGAACTAACAAAAACTATTAAAACCGACAGGAAAAGGGGCTTCTCATTTCAGTGTCCTGCAACTAAGAACACATCCTACTCTACTTGAGTTTGTTATAGTCAGGAGGGATGACTGCATTTAAGATAGATACTTACATTTAAATTACTTTGACATTTTTGAAAACATGCTGATTTGCTTTCTTGCTATAAGTTGAAAACAATGGATAGCACTTGTGCCTGCACCAGGAGACAGTTAGCTTAGCTTAGCCTTTAGACTGACAGCATGGGGAAACAGCATTCCTGGCGCACGGCCAAGGTCTATTTTACACTTCAGTTTTGTATTGATCAAACAAACAAGATACAAAGTTTAAATAAGTGAGCGTAAACTGTTTTGTTGCATTAGGGCAGAGCTAGGATAGCTGTTCCCTCTTCTTATCTTACTGTCTTGTGACTGTAGCTTCATATCAAGCATGCATAAGGGGGAATCACTCAGGAAAGCCATGGTATAACATTTCTTCTAGTTTAATAGAAAATAAAACAAAGAATATTAAATATGTAAAGGCCTGAAAACTGAATATCTGCCCTCTTTTGTATCAAAAGAATCTTCGCCGATTATCGTAATAGTTCTCGCTTGTTTTTTTGTCGACTCATGGTTTTAGATCTAATGCACAATACTTGCCGAAAACACTAACTGTCCCACTGTCTGTGCACTAGAGGTCATTTCAAGGAATATGTTCTCCTTTTAGAAATTGAAGCTATCCTGTGACGTGTTCAAAACATCCAGCTCAGCCTTTCAGTCGTTTTATTCTTGCCTCGACATACATTCACTGTCACTACTCCTTTGTTTACCTACATTATAGCACATTCCATAAGAGCTGTATGATTCACTGTCTCTCCTCTGATGTACAACATCATCATTTTACCCCCTACTTTCTTAGTTCTCCTCCTCCCTCCCTCCTGCTGCAGTAATCCACTCTGAGGCTGAGTCACTCCTCATCCCACTCTCTCTGTCTCCCCTCCTTTGGTGCTATTACTCCCTCTATCTTCCTTTGCTTACCTTACATTACAACACGCATTTGGCTCTGCACATTCGCTCCTGCTAACCCCCCCCCCACCTCTCTCTCTCTGCTCTGTTTCTTCCTCATCAGAGAGTCGCTGAGGTCTCATTCAGCCGCAGCAGGCAGCTAATGCCAAGGCTCAGCCTGATGAAGCACTGCCAAGCTCTGCCAACCAAGCTGTGTGTGAATGAGCACGAAATAAAGCAACCATGCAGAAGGTTGAAGGGCTGTATCTTAAGAGCTATTGGTGTGTCTCAGAAACGACAGTGTTCGAAAGGCAACTATCCCCAGCCCATCGGAGTTGACCTGCCCAGTCAAATGGAGAACAAATCTTCACCAAAGAGTTTCATGATCAACTGTCACCTCCTCCTCTCTTGTAGGCACAAGGCCGTGTATTTGCAGCAGGAAGGCAGAGGAATGAGAATGAAGGGCAAGGGAAGGAAACGGAGTGAATGCAGCAGAAAGGGTTGGGGGATGTTTGGAGGTAGAGGTCACATGAAAGGAGGATGACGTGGACTGATTTTAAATAAGAGTTCTATAGAACATGAGGAAATAAAATAAGGAGTAGCAATAATATTTCATCATAAAACAATATTACATGTATTACTATGTCGTGGCAAACACATTAAATTAAAAATACATTGATCACGTGAAGTATACTACTTGATTTCTAAGTTGTGTTATGTGCCACAGACTTTTGCTTGATTTACAATCATTACCCCGGTCCATCTGGGATGCGCATGTACAGAGCGGATGTGAGGCATCGTTTTCACCATAAATCTCCCTCACTACTCTGATAAGCATGCTAATGCATTTGTACGCTCGGTGGAACCTGGAGTGTAGTCACATTTCTCATTTTTAGTACACAGCACGTGGCGATCTTCTGACTGTAAATGAAACACAAAGTTTTGTAAAAGTGTGACCTTAGGCCGAAGTCAGGTTTCACCATTTCAAGTTAAGCTAGAAAGCAGTCAGTGGGTGTTATTGCCAAGGCTGCACAATCCTCAAAAAGTGTTGGAAAACATTTTTGATTACATCTAGCAGGAAATCCTGGACCAAGATCCGACCAAAAAACAATTCACTTGTTTTTCAGATTTTTGTGTTTTTAATACACCACGCTATTTCAAACAAATAGTATGGCAGGGTGTAGGTCGGTGATGTGCATTAGTCTGTCATGTTCTGTTCTTATCACTCTTTAGCTCACTCTTAACTTTTGTCTGTCTGCCTCGCCTCATTCTTTCTGTGCCTGACTCATACCTGTTCACACACACACACACACAGACAGTTGGTTACCCAGTGTCGAGTCTGACAAGTGGCATCTTGTTGTGATGTTTTCATGTTCTCTTATCGGTGTGAGGCGGTGCCACACATTCCTTCCCGAGCAGTTCATCGTTGTGTGTGTGGGTGCACTTTTTCAGTCTTATAAAGTTTTTGCTGACGTCTGTGACACCTGAGAGTGAGCAGCTGTTAGGCATTGCTTTAAATTGGTAGCTGGTGTTGTTGATTAACGAAAACGCTGTATTAATGACAGGTCAAAGAGTTTGTCTTCAGTTGAATTCTTTTAAAAGATGCCGTTTTTTTTTGTGTGAACCTAACCGTCAGCTTTTGACTGCATCTCAGAATCTCTCCACGTCTACACCCTTTTTGAAATCAAGGGTTTCAACAAGGTATGAAAAGTGATCGGGCTGAACCTGAGATACCTTCATCGAAATCAGAAACGGGTTTATCCTGACAGGCGCTCTTTTTCTTTTTCCCCTCTTGCTCTTTTCTCTGATTGTCTTATCTAATCCCAGCACATGAGAATGTCTCGGCATGGTTGTACAGTTATGTATCCGACTAGAGTCTTCCTGTCCATCACTCCACCACCGGGACTTCCCGTGGTTTCAGTCGACAAGATAGCGGTTTACTGAGCCTTAGTCTGAAATTATTCAAATGTAATATTCTTGTTTTTTTGTGCACATAACTTTTATGGACACATGACTTTGATTCATTACTCACAGACGACTGGTTGTTTCACTCATGTTACGGTCTGATCATACCATGTATGTGCAATTATTATTATTATCTCATTTTAATTGGAGTTCGTTTTTTTTAAAGCACCTATTAACGTTTTATTGTCTCCATATTTGAGGTATCCATTACTTTTTTGTTATGCATTTAAAACCACACTAATAAGCACAATACACCATTTTTATTTCCCACATTCTGGGCGGACTGATCTGGTTCAGCTCCATTTGGGTTGGCTGACCAGCAGAATCTGCTCTCCTAATCAGGGCCTCACTCCTGTTTGCCCCAGTGCCTTGGGTCGAGTGTTTTTCATGTTTACAGTGTCAGTGACCTCTGACCCCAAACACAGAG